GTAGAGAGAGAGAGAGAGAGAGAGAGGTCCTCTTCTCCAGAATTCAGCAAAACATAAATTGGACTAATCTGGCCCCACTTTCTTCCAAAACTGAGGTTCTTTTGAATCACTATTACCCAACAAATTCATTTTTAGCCCAACAAGATTTTAGCAACTGATCTATGAAAATGCAAAAATGGTCAGCTCCCTCATTATCAAGAACAAAGCTGTGGAAATTGGGCAGATCCATAAAGGCTGCCGAATTAAGAAAACCACAACAAATTTGAGAACTCACACAAATTCACAAATCAACTCTTAGATCTTAATTGGCTTTTCAAGTATAATAAAACTCAAACGACAGCAGCAATGGTAGGAAAACCTGAGGGAGCGAGAAAATGAGGTAGCCAAGGAAGCACATGGGCATTATAATGCCCAAGCAAACAATAGAATCAACGCAAGGATTCCTAAAGCGCTCACCTGATCCTCCTTCAAGAAGAGGGTAATCTTGGTGCCCCTGCCCAATGGCTCTCCATTAACATCCCTTGTCACTGTGAAGGAGCCACCAGCCTGTGACTCCCAAACATACTGCTCATCATCGTTGTGCTTTGTGGTCACAATAACCTTCTCTGCAACCAAATATGCAGAGTAGAAACCCACACCAAATTGACCAATCATACTAACATCAGCACCCGCTTGCAAAGCCTCCATGAATTCCTTGGTTCCAGACCTTGCAATGGTACCAAGGTTGTTCACCAAATCTGCAAAATAACAAGAGATGACAATCGTTTAAATTTTAAAACACTGATTTATGCAAACGATACTAACAAAATACATTTTGAACCTTGACTCATTATTGACTCAGCAAGCAGTTAGACAAATGAACGAGGTGAACATATAACTACCACTTACCAGCCTTGGTCATGCCAATTCCGCTGTCAATTATGCTCAAGGTCTTGTTCACCTTGTCAGGAACGAGCCTAATGAAGAGTTCTGGCTGAGCATCGAGCTTGCTCTTGTCTGTGAGACTCTCAAACCGGATTTTGTCCAAAGCCTACAGCGATCAATGAAACCCACAATAAGAAGCCATACACAAATCCCATCCAAAACCACACCTCAACTAGCACCACCTAACACAACCTAGAGAAGAAATCAGGAATTTCAACAACTTTTTTATTCTTGAAAAGCGTCAAATCCATGAAGATTCAAGCCAAAAACCATAAACATACTAGACTGTGTACACTTTCGATTCAGAATAGAACAACTTCAAAAACTCTCAACATCTTCAATAGCAGAAGAAAAACTGCAGTAATCCATGGGAACTAACACAACTAATCCAGAGCCATTGTATACACACATCTTTTCCTTCAGAAATGGACTAGCCAATCCATTAAAATTTTTAATAAGAAACCATTACAAAAATCCCAAACCAAGAAGACTATAACCACACCTCGTTCCCACCAAAAACAACCAGGAAGTTTCACAGACTGAGAGATTGTTAACACAGAGTAGGAGAGACCCAAATAGAGGTAAGCTCAAACAAAATAACCATTCAATATTCATATGATCATATCTAAAGCCTTTGGACCTGACATGAATCGCCTAGCACCTCTTGAGAATAGAATTTGTGTTTCAAAAAGACAAATTCAGAGACAAATGAGAAAAGAAAGAAGAACTTACATCAGATGAGTTGCTGATCAGTTCTCGAAGGAAAATCTCCTTATTACTGTAAAAGGTGTTGATGATGAGGCTGAGAAGCTGGTTGATCTCAGCCTGGAAAGCAAAAGTCTCTGCCTCACCACCAGCCATCTGAACATCCGCCATTGATAAACCAGAAAACAAAGCAAACGACTGAAGACTTAAGGATGAAAAGCCTAGAAAAGATAGCTAAATTCAGAGAATTATAGCTTTTTTTGCAGAGCGAAGCGCGCAGAAAATGCAAGCCATTCAACCCCTTAATCGAGCGCTACAGAATTGGGGCAAGTATTTATATTGGAGTTTAGGAGTCTCTGGAATCAGTTTCTGGAGAGTTCTACCACTCTCTTTTCTTCGAATTTTATGTTTTGTTTTGAAAACCTCTTATTTTTTCTTTTTTTTCTTTGACGCTGATCTCGAAGCTTCTTTTCGTTGGAAATGGAGGGAAAGTTGAATGGGAAAAAGGTTATATAGAGCCGAGGCTCTAAACAATCAAAGTAGAGCTCACCTCAAAAATTTCATCAAAAAAAGTTTTATCCGGACATCAAGCTGCGTGGACTTAAGAGAAATATGGATTTCAAATTTAATAAATAATGTATTTTGTACTGCATATTTAGACCGTCAATTTTCAAGATTTTTAAGTTTTTATTGATATACTTAATCTACATTATTTTTAAAATTTTACCTTTTACAATTATAGACGAAAATATGTTTTAAGGCTATCACAAAGATTTTCAATATTAAAACCACATTTGTCCTCTACTTTGATTGTTTAGAGCCTCGACTCTATACAAACCACACCCAAGTCGATTTATAATGGGAAAATAGTTTCATCAAAATTAAGGTACGAGGTTTCTATAAGGCCTAGGCTTTATGAAAACAAAATAGAGCCTCATCACAAATCTTCATTCGGAAGGCACTTTTGGTACCAAAAAATACCTATGGCGACTCAAAAATCAATGTCCAACACCCACAATGAAATTCAAACTCAAAAAGGTACAAATCTTAATGATCTATAAACATTTATTTTTAAGGCAAAATGGACGGTCTAGATAATCTATTATAATATATGCTAGTTTTAGAGCTTAAAATCCTATTTTTTTGTACAACTATAATGTTCAAGCCAAGATAATCAATGTAAAGCTTTTCTAATGCTTGAATTGTAATTTTTTTATGAGTTATGAGGTGAGACTTTACTTATTTTGATAAATTTGCAAGCCTATGAAACCATTTGCCTTTAAATATTAGAGAATTTCCACATCGATCATCATGGCTTGAACATTATGGTATGAAGAAAAAAAAAATAGAATTTCAAGTTCTCGTAACATATTATGTAGACCATCCATTTTGCCCCAAATCATATATCCGTAAGATTTGTACCCTTTTTTTAGTTTCAAATTTCATTGTCGTTATTAAAACCTAAGTTTAGAGCCATCATGAAAATTTCTATTGCCGACAATGCTATCGATTCGATGATTTGAGGTGAGGCTTTGTTTTGCTTTCAAAAACTCTGGGCCTATAAAAAATTCATTCTTTATATTGTTTTGAAGTTATTTACCAAAAAAAAACAAAGTTGAACGGTTTATTTATGGGATTTTATACAATGGAACCACTTATTTTGATACAAGAAAGGCACAATTATTTATGACCATCCGATATAAAATTTGATAGCTTGGTTATGTCACAAAGTTTGAAGCGATTTTTTTTTGGAACTTTGAGCTTGGTCAATGAAAATTATATGTAGCCTTCTACCAAAAATAAACAGTATCATTATATATTTTTCCTTTATTTAATTGCCCATCATTGCAAGAGAGGCTCCATTGTGGTAATGACCATTGTGCCCTTATGGCTGTTTGGGCACCAAAGTGCTCTCAAGATTTCTTATAACTTTATTTTAGGAAAGTATATAATGAGACAATTTACGTTTGATATGAGATGCTCGCAATTAATCTTGACCATCCAAGGTGAAATTTGGTGGCTGTATTTATTTCATTGGCCAAGCTCAATTCTTCAAAATAAATGTTTTCAAACTTTGTGCTATAAAATTTCACATGAGAAGGTTATAAGTAATTGTAATCTCCTTGAACCAAAGATAAATGGTTTCATTGTATACAATCTCATTTATTATTTTATGAAAAGAAAAATCCAAAATGAAAAACCCTAACATAGTGAATGAGAAACTTGCCCCAATACCATCAAGAGCTTCGCAAAAAGGAGATAATCTCATGAAAAAGAAACTTGCCTAAAAAAATAAAAAGCTATAAGAATTTCCCATTTGTTCCCATGTAAGCTTCACCGGTCAATTTGTGTTTGGTGATGAATTTGGCTTATATTTAAAAGAAATTTATATGATTATTTTTTATATTTTGGGAAATTTAGATAATGTCTTCAACATACTATATTTTACGTTTATGTCCCACTTTTCAATGCATTTAGTAACTTAATTTTATTTTATTCTATATATTGGATTGTGCTCAAATTTTGCATATTCAAACTTCATATTATGATATATTTGTAAAAATATACACAATACTTAAATAAAAATAAAATAAACAAAAAAATTAGATGTACAAATTTTAGAGATATATTGGTAAGTCATTTTATTTATTTAAAAAATACATACCTAAAATTTCAAGTGATTTGGATCTGTTGAAAGTAAAATAAAACTCAAGCACTACCGGACATCCATGATCGTCAGATCGACCCAGATTCAATCTGGGCCGTTGGGCTCATATGTTCATATGAGCTAGTGGGTTAATCTCATCTTTCCCCATATTTAAATTGTCCTATTTTTTAACTAGCATCTGAAAACAGGGCTCAAGGACCCGAATTGGGTACCTACCAGACCTAATTCAAGCTGGCCAGGCCAAGTAGGCCAATAGTTTAAAAAAAAGGTGCAATTAGCATACAGATGCATCCGTAGCTGTAGAGGTAAGGTGCACGTTCAAATTTTATCATGGTATATAATGTTGATGTAAAATATTCGTAGGATTATCTCAAAATCTATTTTTATATCTAATTATAGAAATTTAAATTTCAAAAATAGTTAACATCAAGTAGATCTATAAACATATGAAAATCTTGAAAATGGACGGTGTAGATAATATGTTGTAAAATGCACTATTTATGAGACTTAAAATCTTTTTATTTTTCATTATCATACATCTCAATGTCGAGATGATCAATCAAAAGATTTTTCAACATTAAAACTACCTTTTTCGATAGATTTTTTAGGTGCATCCGTAGTTCTACATGTTGCAACCTTACATAAACTTTTTTCTTAAAAAAACGAGAGAGAGAGACAAACTTTGCCCTATTAAATTTAACCTAATTGTCCCATCAAGCTTTTTAATTAAAAATATTTCGGACCTTAATGTTTAAAGTTGATCCAAAACTTGGGCTTTCGACCTTCAATGGCTGAAGTTGTGTTCCACTTTGTTATTGCCATTCCCTTAACTTTAGATTATTAGAAGCGGTGCAGGTGATTGTTCTGCCCTGCCAAAATGGAACGACATCATAGCTTGAAGGTATATAGTTGAGCTCTCGAAGAACTTTAGACCTTGTGTAAAAAGCATTGATCCTATTAGGTTAAACTTCGAGCCTTCAATTAAGGGACCTGAGCCAAGCCTGACCTGACTAGGTTTAACCCAAATCTGACTACAAGTGAATTGGACCAGGACCTGACTTGGACTCCAATTGGATCTAGGTAATTTGGACGCAGACCCGAGTCTTGACGCCAGCTCTAATTTGACTGTTCAGAGCATCAGCTCTATAAAAACTTTTCCCAAACCCATGTTAGCGCTGATTTGAAATATACACTCCTTTCATTATAATGAACAATCACAAAAAGAAAAAATTGAAACGGAATTTAAAAAGTATTTTTTTATCCCAATTAACACAGGTCGTCTATTTTGATAAGATGCTTAGATCTAGATCTTGGAAAGATTTTTTCTTTTTCAATTTTTTTAAATGGCTTTATTATCATTAGATAAACAATGTTAAAAAAGAAAATAATGATTTTGAGTTTGTAAAGGCTAAGATATTGAAATTCACCAAATGAATGGTCTAGATTCGTTGTTGGAAGGGACTCATTTTGACCATATCTAAGATTCAAATTGAACTCTTTTTTTGTGAATGCTTATTGAGATTAAGAGAGCATGTGTGCAAAATTTTGAGTCGTTTGCATCATACTATGATACAACCGTTGCATGAAATCATTGCATATATATATATATATATATAGAGGAAAAGTCTTCCCAACGCCTATAAGTAAAAATGAATAACCCTCATCACCGTCCAAGTTTCATCTCGCGGTCACGATTGTCAGGTAGTGTTTTTATTTTTTAGTTTTTTATTTTTATTTATAAATCAGAATGATCTAAAATTTGGAGAGTATATACATCTTACTGAGGCGCATCTAAAAAAAATATCCACAAAAAAATGGTTGACCAAAATACCCTCAAAATTTTTTAGGGGTATTTTGGTCAAATTTTTTCAAGTAAACTATTTATTTATATATTTTTCGAAGATTCTCCTATTTTTGATGAATACATGTTCCAAATTTCAGGTCATTCCGATTTGTAGAAAAAAAATAAAACAATATCAGATAATCGTGACCACGCGATGAACTTTAAACGGTGATGGGGGTAGGCAAAATCACTGTTCATTTTCGCCTATAGGCGTTGTGTAGTGTTTTCCATATATATATATATATATATAATATTATATAATGAGACAATCTTAAAAAACCATAGCCATTTGTTTAACCCAAATTTTAAAATATGCACTCTTTGCGTTCTAATGAACAATCATAAAACGAGAAAAAATTGAAAACACAACCTAAAAAATATTTTTTAGCCCAATTAACATAAGCCGTCTATTTGGGTGAGATATGTAGATCTAGACCTTAAAAGGATCCGTTTTCTTTTCAAATTCTTTACTATCATTAGATTAACAACATTAAAAAAAAAATTGATTTTGAATTCATAAAGGCCTAGATTTTAAAATTCACCAAATGGACGGTTTGGATTGATTGTTGGAAGAGGACTCATTTTGACCATATATAGGATGCATTTTTTTTTTTTTAGGTATTACAGTTTCTGTGTTTTTTGCATGAAAATTTGACCGCACCAGATATGCTAGCATATATGATGCGGTTGATTTTTCTATGCCATTTGAAATAATTGGAGAGCCTATGGATAAAAATACTATTCATTTTCGCTCGTGTTTTGACTTCCATATATATAAATTAATATGTGTTTATATGTTTTGTATATTTTATATCAAGTCAACCCTGAACCAACCCAATAGAGTCCATACCAAACCTAGACCTAGACTCAACCCACTGAGGTCCAAAACATGGCCCAGAACTAGACCTGATTAGTCAACCTGGTAGCCACCCCTAGTTGTCAATGAATGAAAATATCAAAGAAAATGTATAAACAAAAAAATAAATATTATCAAGAAATTTATTAAACAATGGTAATTTAGATGGAAAGATATTAGCCTAAGCCCGAAACTCAAAACCTGAAACCCGAAACCCTAAACCCATAATCCAAAACCCGAAACCCTAAACCCTAAACCCTAAACCCTAAACCCGAAATCCTAAACCCTAAACTCGAAACCCGAAACCCAAAACCCTAAAACCCTAAACCCTGAACCTTGAAAACCCTAAACCCATAACCCATAACCCAAAACCCTAAACCCCGAAATCCTAAACCCTAAACCCGTTGTGAAAGAAGGCTAGGGAGTTGGTTATCAGTTGTGAAAGAAGGCTGGGGAGTTTTTGAAATTGATGTTTTGGCTGATCTAAAGAATTTGTTCAAGATTGGTAGAGTTAAGTGTAGGCCAAAAGTGAGGTGGTGTCTCCCGATGCATGAGTGTTATAAGTTGAACTTTGATGGAAGCAATTTTGGTAATCCGGGTATAGCGAGAAAGGGTGAGGTAGCATGTGATTGGAATGGGGTTGTGGTCTCATGCTACACAAGACCTTGTGGGATTAAATCTGCAAATGAGGCTAAAATAGCCTCATTTTTGCAAGGATTATGGAATTACAGGATAAGCAATAGGATGGGGTTTATATAGTGGAAGGGGATTCATTTAATACAATTTTATGGTGTAAGAAAGAGAAAAAAGTCCCGTGGCAGTTGCGACAATATTGGTTGGAAATTTTGGACCTAGCACCTGAGGGTCTCGTTCTATCATGTTTATCGGGAAGCTAATGGGGTAGCAGATGAGTTAGCTAAAGTAAGGGCTTCTCTTTCAAATTCAGTTAGTAGTAATGACGTTTTGAGTGTGTTGTAACTATCTTTTGGAATCTTTTGAATTATTAATAAAAAGCTTTTAATATTGTCAAAAAAAAAAAGATAGAGACAAAGGTGGCAATGGAGAAGGTGGCCCAGCCGTAAAAAAACTAAGGGTATAGGCCCTACAAAATGTGGCTTGGGATAGTACCCACCATAGGGCCATGTTGAGCCTGGGCCAAGCCATAACAAGGCTAGCCTAATTCATCCCGACCCAGCCCTTTTTGACCTTTATTTTTTTTTTCTATTTAGCCCACCCAGCCCCACCTTGATAAGGCTATGGCCCGGCCTTAGCCACAGCCTCCTTGGTTTGGTCCGTGCCTGGGCCAGCCCTATATGGACCGGGCTCGGGCCAAGGGTGGCCCGACCTAGGCTCATCCCATTGCCAGCTCTTATTATAGAGGAAAGATAGCATCCTCTAAGTGCATAATGGGATTGATAAAGCACGTGCACACATGCTAACATAGGACGAACCCAAAAAAATAAAATCATATGCATGCGTTGTTCTGATGAAATAAATTTAAAGAAAGGAGTATTACATTCAATCTCCGATTTAGTTGAGAGAGAAAGTTAAAAGGACTCTTACATGAAGACAAAATGCAGATTGGATGCATAGATTAAACAAACTTTAGATGTGGAACACTAATTTTACATAGAAAAAATGTTTTCTAGAAAACATTTTCACATAACATGTTCACATGAAAATACTTTTCTAATTTTTACATGAAAATGTTTTATCCAGAAAGTATTTTCTAAAAAATATAATATGAAAATGTTTTTCATATGAGAATGTTTTCTAGAAAATGTTTTCTAGTGAATGTTTTCACATGAAAATATTTTTATATGAAAATATTTTCACATGAAAAATGTTTTCACATGAGAAATATTTTCACATGAAAATGTTTTATATAGAAAATGTTTTCACATGAAAATATTTTCATATAAAAAGTGTTTTCTCTATAAATGTTTTCTAGAAAATGTTTTTATATGAAAATACTTTTCACATGGAATTTCACATGAAAATATTTTCTAAAAAATATTTTGATATGAAAATGTTTTCTAGAAAATGCTTTTACTTGAAAATGTTTTCTAAAAACTGTTTTCACATGAAAATGTTTTCACATAAAATGTTTTCAAGAACATTAATTTTACATGAACACTATTTTGTTCACGTGAAAATGTTTTCTATAAGACATATTTACATAAAAAACTTCCCATCATGCGGTCAAGTGTAAAAACATTTTTATATCAATTAGTTGCCAATTGATATGAAAAGATACACTAAAATCAGTTGGTATAAAAATATTCCCACACTTATCGCATGAAAGCATTTTTTTCATACGAAAATGTTTTCTAAAAAATATTTTCACATGAACCAAACATGTTATATCCCTTCACTATATCAAGTATTAATGGAACATTTCATTGTTAGTTAAATTGCTTATTTTGTTGTACTTTGTCAATTACCATCCAATACCAAAATAACTAAAAAAGAGCATTTAATAATTAAAATTCTTTTGCGAATGTCAATACATTCAACTATAACCTTATGATGAACATTGGATGGTGATGAGCCATAAGTAAAATACTATAAAAATTTTACAATGAAGAATTAAAAATAGAAATAAATGTTAAACAAAATATGCTTTACGCCAAAGAATCTCACTATCAATAAACTTATACAAGCGTACAAGTTGCATTGGCATTCCTTATGGCAGCATGGTGCCAATCTTGGATTTCCATTATCCGTTGTGTAAACTGTTAAGAGAACCACAGTTGATTTGCATGCTATTCATTAGCATAGCAAAATGAATAAATTGGTTTGCTTGCTGGCAACCCAATTACAAATGGGCATCTCCAATTCAAAATAACAAATTTACATTTACAAAAAGAACATGCATGCACATGCAGCCTTCCATCATCGCGCTGATCTTTGAAAATAATGCTCAATTTGGTGGCAGCCACGAGACTGATTACTGTTATTGTTGTTATTGTTATTGCCTTGCTTGGCACCAATCTTGCACCTCTTGGGAGCCCTTTCCCACAATGACCCCTCATGCCCCACATCCTATATATTCACAAACAGAAGCTCATTAAATGATAAAAGCAAGGTTCACAAAACATGACAACGCTTGTTATAATTGCCAGTATAACTGTATTCGTGATTGACTGTTATATTAAGAGACATGCTATCTTGTAAATTACTTAAGGACAAAGTTTATATGATGGCAATAACTATCAATCCAATGATGTTAAGCCTTATTCCTTCCGGCCTGGTCCGGTATGGAATGAACTTAAAATCTGATGATCGAGTTGATTCCATGGCATGTGTGTATGTGTTCTGTGTTTGAGCATGAGAGAGAGAGAGAGTGAGAGACTTGTGTGTGTATTTAGAAACATGTATCATGCATGCCAAAGAAACTAAACAGAGTTTGTGAGTCTTCAAAACCAGAACATAGCCAGGAATAGCATAAACCAAGCAAAGAAAATAATAGAAGGAAAACAGAAAGCTGCAGGAAAAACTAAGATAACTAAAAGGAAACCTACAAAGAAGCTGTTCTGGGATCTTAATACTTTGATCCTTCCACCCCTGCCATCTGATCCAACAGCTATTAGATCACCACTGACCCCATGTCTTGGAATTGACGATCCAGATGAACATGCCTCACTTTGTGCTGGCCTGCACCACTTTGCACTAGCTCTCATGCTTGATCCCATTGAGCCAATAAATCCTGCAAATTAACTCCCTCTCCATTAAATGAATTTTATAACAGTGATTTCATTCCATATATTTTCTACTTTCCTTTGTACCAATTTTCCTTTTTAAACCTACTCCCAAGTTTTCTTGAGAATTTCTAAGAAAAACTAAAAGTTGTGAAAATATCCTGTAGAATTCCATGAAAAATTCCTAGATACAGGATTTGAACGTCAAGAAATGGAAAAAAGAACCGGTTTATTAGCTTTTATAGTAACTAAATTGCATTTGCAAAAGACTGCAGTTCCTGTAACTCAAAGAGAGACACTCACCAGGAGTTGAAATCGAATCAATATGGACAACTGAAGTTTCCTTCGTAATGGGAATGAAGGAAGATATATTTTCTAAGCTTTCAGCAACAAGTGATTCCTGCAAGCTTGTATCAAGTGGCCTGTTAACTGCTCCATCTCTCTTATTCTCAACCATCTTTACATTCCCTGATTTGGGGGGCATATTTTTTGTCGATGGTCCTATCAAATTAGTTTTGTGGGCCTCAGTTTCCTTGCAAATACGTGATTGAATTTGAGGTTCCAAGCCAGTGCTTGGAGTCTCAGGCACTGTAGAAGGATTCCCCCCATGGCCATCTATGATGAGACAAGCATCAGATTCGACATCAATTGAGATGGGTTTAACGGATTTCTCTTCCTTCTTAGTTGATAAACCAACAGGAGCAATTGTTTTCACTGAATTCAGCTCAAACCTGCTCAGATAAGCACTGTTCTCTACACCTTTGGAGATCGTCAGGGACCTTAATGCTTCGTTTTCTTTCTCTTCAAGAGCTCTCTCTAGTTCTTGTACTCTTGCCTGATTCATTTCACAAAAGCCATGTTACAATCAAATAGATTTGGAAATAATTTCGCAGTTTGGTCAAATTTCACTCATCAAATGGCTAGAAACAAATTGTTTTTGTTGACACTTAACAATGAAATTTCTAAAATTGGTATAGATCAAAAGATGCTCAAAATCAGATGGAAATCTATCATCATCATCATCTATGTAAATATTAAATCAGTTCAAAGCAATTAAAACTGAAAACCTTTATAACCAAAATGCTTCAAATGGGCTATTAGGGGTTGTGACTTCAGCGGGATCACATTATACATCCAATCAGATTTCATCATGCTTCTTGATCTACATACATACATACATATGTAGATATGTTTTTGTGTGTAAGCACGCATGCATAAAATCAGACACAAAGTAATAAGACAACTGATCCAAGAGATCAAATAGGAGGAGAACCTTCAGCTTCTTAATCTTTTCAATAGCCCTCTCAAACTTTTGAAATGAACGACTCTCTCCCCGTCCCAGCAAGTTGCATTGGGCCATCAACTCTTTATATCTCCTATAGAAGGGCATTCAATAGAAAATTCCACAACACATTAAAAGATTATATACAACAGCAGTTGACACTCGCTCAGAGTATACATGATGATAAAATGAATGGGAAGTCCATTCAAAGAGCATATTGTGTAGAAGGGCTTCTCGATACATAAAGAACAACAAGGTGCAGTTTAACATATATTGCTTGAGTGCTTAATAAAAGCTTGAGGACAACTCAAGTGAGATAGAAAAGGTTATTCAGCCAAAAAGTGAGTTAAGAAAATGTGGTTACTATCAAGGAGGCCAAAATGCTTAGGTGGGGCCTAAGTGGGTGCCCTGGGTGTCCTTGCTCCTAGGTGCTCACCTAGGCGCCCACCTCAAGCAGAATCATGGGCATCCTTGCTCCTAGGTGCTCACCTAGGCGGCCGCATCAAGCAGAATCATGGGCACCCTTGCTCCTAGGTTTGTGGGCATTTTTTAATGTTAAGCCTTTTAAGTTTGGCTTTTGAGAGAGAGAGGAGGGGGGGAGGGGTCCCCCCTTGTTCTTAGCAGGCGCCTGGGCCCCCTGGCGGCAAGGCCGCCAATCCGCCTAGGTTGGTGCCACCGCCTTCTTGAACATTGGCTGTAGTCTTAATGGAGTGAATTGCGACTAAAAAAGAATGTCTATGCCATGGCTTAAGTTTCATGAAGCTATGTATTCATCTTTCATTGCTAGCGGTGAAGAAGCTCTGTATGAAGCATATTATAGAATTACACCTGTTATATCATACTAATAGGACAGGCTAAGAAAAATCATAGTCCATTGGGTCATCACTATCCACTGTACTATTGGATGATTATGAAGAATAAGAAAGAATGTTACCCACCATTGGAGCCATGTCTTGTTCCAGTGGATCCAAATCTCTCTCTCTCTCTC